AAACCCCTTTCATCAATGAACTACTCCACGTAGGCAACATGCAGAATTTCTGTGGGTTTTTCCCCAAGGGCTCCATGAACTTATTTAGAAATGAACAATATTAGAAATGCAAGTTGGCACATATCCAAACTGCTCAGTGATTACCACCCTGGGTGAGCACATCCATGTTCAGACACCAAGGGCATATTCAGCAGCAGCTGTTTCATCAGTGGCAATAACAGCAAGTGAGGCACTTGAATACATCTAAGGACAGAAAGGCAACACAGAGAGGAGGCGCCCCGTCAGAAGGAACAGAGGAGCAGAGTGAAGAGCAGTCGAGTATGGAAAGAAGACAAAGCAGGCCTACAGGGATCTGGCCTTACAGATACAGAATGTTACAGGTGGAAGGGTCTTTGGAATTAAAGCTGTGTATTTTTAGACATGCACTTGAAAGTCACGCAACATGGGGAAAACTTAGAAATGATGATTGGATAGGAGACACTTTAGAAAACGAGAAATATGGGATAATCCAATCGCATAGGAATTTCCAATTCATCGAATGTGTAAAGACAGGCAGTGTTTACTGACAGCAGGGCATAGTGGAAGTGATGTCCTTAACCTTACTAAATCATGATGTACTGCACAAAATGCTCACTGAAACAATAAATATGAGTTTATTATAAAGCAGAAATTTGACTTGTATCCTGAGATAACAGAAAAAAAAAATGAACTATTCCATTCTTTCTTGCAATTGTAGCAAAATATATTCTGGGAAAAAGGAAAAGAAACAAATCACCTTTAGAATGCAAAGGAATAGGAAGTTGGGATTAAAATTGATGAAGAAAAGTGAGCAGCCATGATTCAGATGACGGAATACATGGTGAAGTCATGGACAGTTGTTCCCCCATTTTTTATTGCTCTTATATATAAAACTCCTACGAATATTTATGTACAGGTTTTTGTGTAGACATATATTTTCATTATCTGGGAGATAAACATGTACCTAGGAGAAGAATTTATGGGCCATGCGGTAAATCTATGTTTAACTTTCCGAGAACTGCCAAATTTTTTTTCATCACCGTCTCACCATTTGACATTCCCACCACCACCATAAGAGGGTGACAGTTCCTCCACATCCTTGCCAACACCGATTTGCCTTTATTTTGTTGTTCTTTAATAATGGCCATTCTAGGAAGTATAAAGTGGTATCTCATGGTGGTTTCCATTTGGATTTTCCTGATAAATAATGTGAAGGATTTTTGTGTGTGCTTACGGGCTATGATTGTATCTTCTTTGAAGAAACATATGTTCAAATGCATTGCCCATTTTTAAGGGAGTCGTCTTTGAGTTGTAGGCATCCTTTTACATTTTGTTAGATATACCACTGAAGAAATTTTCTCCCACTGTGTGTTTTTTTTTTCCACTTTCTTATTACTGTCTTTGAAACCACTAAAATCTTGAGTTTATCTATTTTTGCTTTTATTGCTTATCTTTCGGTGTCATATCTAAGAAACCACTGCCTCATCTAAGGTCAGAAAGACTTACATTTTTTAAAGAGAGTTTTATAGTTTTATCTCTTACATTAGGTCAATGATCCATTTTGAGTTAATTTTTATGTGTGTTATAAAGTACAGGTCCAACTCATTATTTTGCATGTGAATATCCAGTTGTCTCAGTACTGTTTATTGTAAAAGGCTATTCTTTGCCATAGAATCATCTTGGTATTCTTTGCAAAAATATGTTAACCAGAAATGTAAGGGGTTCTTTTTGGATTCTCAGTTCTATTCTGTTGATATATTTATATCCTATGCCAGTATCACAATGTCTTAGTTATTATACATTTTTTTTTTTTTTTTTTTTTTTGAGAGGGAGTCTGGCTCTCTCGCCCAGGCTGGAGTGCAGTGGCTGGATCTCAGCTCACTGCAAGCTCCGCCTCCTGGGTTTACGCCATTCTCCTGCCTCAGCCTCCCGAGTATCTGGGACTACAGGCGCCCGCCACCTCGCTCGGCTAGTTTTTTTGTATTTTTTAGTAGAGATGGGGTTTCACCATGTTAGCCAGGCTGGTCTCAATCTGCTGACCTCGTGATCCGCCCGTCTCGGCCTCCCAAAATGCTGGGATTACAGGCTTGAGCCACCACGCCTGGCCAGTTATTATAGATTTTAAGTAAGTTTTGAAATAGGGTTGCATGAGTTCTCCAACTTTGTTCATTTTGCACATTACCATTTTAGGAATTCTGGGTCCTTGAATTGTTATGTGATTTTAAAAATCGGCCTATCAATTTTTGCAAAAAGTCATCTGATTTTTTATAGAGATTGTGTTAACAACAACAAGTCTTCCAATCCATGAATGTAATATTTCTTTCCATATATTTAGGCTCTTTAATTTCTTTCACTGATGTTTTGTAGTTTTCAGTGTAAAAATTTGCAGTTCTTTTCTTAAATTTTCTTGTATTTTGTTTTTCTTAAGTTGTTGTAAACTAAATTGTTTTTAATTTTTCCTTTTTTCCTCCCCTATTGGGTAAGCATATTTTTAATCTCATTTTTGAATTACGAATTGCTGTGTATAGAAATACAGATTGTTTCTGTGACTTGATCATGGGTATTGCCATCCTCCTGAACTATATTCTTAGTTCAAATAGGATTTTTTTGTAAATTCCTTAGAATTTTCTACATACAAGAGTATGTCATCTGAACATAGAGATAGTTTTACTTCTTCATTTCCAGTTTGGATACTTTTTATTTATTTATTTATTTTCTTGCTAGGTTGTTCTAGCGAAAATCACCAATACAATGTTGAACAGAGCTGGTGACAGCAGACACTCTTGCCTTTGTCCTCATCTTATGGGGTAAGTGATCAGTTACCATTGAGTACAACGTTAGCTCTGTTTTGCTTTTGTTTTGTTTCCTTTTTTTATTTTTTGGTACTTGCCCTCTATCAGGTTGAGAAAATTTCCTGCCATTCTTAGTTTATTTACTTTTTTCTCATAAAAGTGTATTAGGCTTTGTCAAATGCTTTTTCTACATATGTTGAGATAATCATTTGATTTTGTTCTTTATTCTATTAACATGATATACCATATTTTCTGATTTTTGAATGCTCAGCCTTGCTTTCTTGTCATAAATCTCACAAAGACATATTGTGAAATCCTTTTTATATGTGGCTGAACTTGATTTGCTGGTGTTTTATTTAGGTGTCTTAAAGCTATATTCATAAGGTTGTTGTTTTCTTTTTATCTAACATTTTTATTTGATTTTTGTCTCTGGGTAATTCTGACCCAATAGAATGAGCCAAGAACAATTCCCTGCTCTTCTGTTTTTGAAAGTGTTTGTGACGGATCGGTGTTAATTCTTTAAACAATTGGAAGAATTCAACCTTGAAGCCGTGTGGACATTAGCTTTTCTTTGTGAGAAGTTTTTGATGACTAATTCAATCTCTTTACTTGCTGTAGGTCTATTCCAATGTTCTCCTTTTTTCTTTAGTTCTGCTTCTTGGTGTTTTCTTGGAATTTGTCAATTTCATTCAGGTTATCTAATATTTTGGTGCACAATTGTTAATAGTATTTCCTTTTAATTATTTTTGTTTCTGTAAATTCAGGAGTAATATTCCTCTTTCATTTCTGATTTTGGAAAAGAATGTTCCATGTGCAATTGAAAAGAATATGTATTCCACAATTTCTGGATGAAGTGCTCTAATTGTGTCTGTTAGATCTGGTTGGTTTATAGTGTTATTTAAGTCTTCTATTCCCTTGTTGATATTTTGTCTACTTGTTCTATTTGTTTTTGAAAGTTGGGCATCAATGTCTTTAACTATTCAGACTAAGTGTTAGTCATAAGGCAAAGCTCTTTCCAGTAACCACAACACTGCCTCTGAAGAATATGAATATATAAATTCATAGAGATCTGTTTTAGAGGGGTTGCATTAGAATATCCAGATTTTCATATATTTGCTTTTTGTACATTTTCACCATGGGTATTTCTATGGTTTTAAATGAACTTTTATATCATGTTAAAACCCTTCATAAAGCTTTCCATCTTTGTCTTACTTATTTTAATGCATATTTTAGCAGTAGCATTCTGGAGGTAACAAGCTTTCCAATGTTTAATAATTTATCTTTCAGTAATTTTATAGGTGCTATCAATTTTTTATAATATTGCTCTGAATACACAATTGCTTTACCCGATTGCTGTTTTTGAAGGTCTTTAAAATGATGTCACAGACTTTTAAACAAGGTCCCACAGATTACATGCAATGTTATTTATTCATAGAGATTTACTTATTGATTTAGATACTCACAGTCCATCTCTACCTGACAATGTTTGCTATCTGTTTTGTTCCAAGCACCACAGTCAGTAGATTCCGAACAAATATTTAAAAATGAATGAATATGTAAGCATACCTAAGTTATATACATAAAACCTGTGTTTATATATCCATATGCCGGCAAAGAAAAACTCCAGAAACATAAGCATCATTCTACGAGTTAAATGAACACTTATTCTTCAATAAATTTAACATTAATTCAAATGTTATTTGTTATTCACACTTTGTGTCACGTTTTCAGACCTTGAAAATGATGTCAATCCATTTGATATTTTCAATGCAACAGGAAAGTTATTTTAGGAGATAACATACACAACAATAAATAATTTGTTTTATGCTTATGAGAGAAAAAAACACATATCAGTATTTTCTCTTTCAGGAAAGTTAGCCATAATGATAATCACTGGAAACCTCACTATCAGTTTAGCTAAAATCTTGGAATGTGTTTAAAATATTATTTGGTGTCATGGTACATGAAATTGATTTCATAACTGATATAGTAACATTGTTTTTAAATCAGAGGGTTTTTATAAAATTATGTTTAACTTATCATTGTAAACAAGTGTCCTTTGGTACATACATTGATAAACCATTTTAATTGTTCTAACTCATTTTTGCTGAGAGTCAGACTTAATATTGGCTCTGAAATGACCAGCAGGTAGAGAAGATGGCAAATGAGAATGAGCAGGAAGACACTTACAGCTTACTCGACAGCACGGGGAGATCATGGATGATCTCTTCATAGGGCTCTTCTTGTGCTAAGGTAGAAACAGACAGAGGCTCTTTCATTTTTTCTTCCCAGGCAATTTCGGCTTTGAGCAGCATTTCCTCAATAAACTCAGATGCAGCAATATCTACAAGAAAAAAATAAGAAAATCAGAAAAATGATGGGTGGTGATAGTACATAAATCTATTTACTTTCAATCATTCCGATATGCTTAAAATGGTAAAAATTTATCAATGTATGAATCACAACAAAAAACCTTCCAAGTTTATGGCTGGGATAAAATTGAAGTACTGTCATTTTAAAACACTATTTTGTTTTACATCAGTGACATATTTAATTATAAATGAAATAAAATATGAAAATAGTATACACTGGATGGTGATATGTAAAATAAAAAATCATTGAGAATAAGCTTGCACAAACTTAATGTCATTTCATTCTCAGTAAAACTTATCCTGCATCTTGGTGGCTATGAACCAAAATTACAGAAAGAGTTACACTTTCCCATCGACTGGATTACAAAGCATGTAACTGGCTTTCGATAAACATTCTACTAAATGGGTAGTTGTACAAGTAAATACTTAGTTGTATTATTTAAACAAGGGGTCTGCTCTCTAGCCATAATATTTTTACCTTTATCAATTGCAAATATAAATAAATATATTTCCTTACAAATTACACATAACAGTAACATCTCAACATGTCTGGGCAGCAACATATATATGTATCAATCAAGTTTATACTAACGACAATTACTGATCTAGAAACTGATATAGAGCATGAGGAAAAAATCAACATTCATATCAATGAAGAACCTACTGGAAGCAGCTGCTGCTTCTCGATCATCAGGACCAGACTGTGTGACCACCTGTGTCTATAAATGAGAGTTATGTGGCCTTCTGGACTGGTCAGAGTAATGTAGCTGCCACAAGAAGATATTATGTAAAGATTTTGTCATTATTTGCCTCAGATTATATTATATACATGTAAAAAGTAGGTGAGTGTTCAGCTTTCTTACTTTGGTAGATTAAATTTCTGTCCCACCTAACAAATTGTTCCCCGCCCCCCCGATATTTTTTTATGAATCCATTCCAAATTCAAGAAACATAAAATAACAGTAATAAATTATAATACTGATGACGACTTTCATTTGCCCAGTTATAGCATAGGTTTCTGGTTTACTGTTCTCTGCTCTATTCTTGTATCTGGTTTTATCTAGTTTTGTCTTCTTGCTGCCTGGATTATTGGCATATCTGCTTTAGTTGAAACCTCTCACTGCATTATAACTCTTTGCTTTTTGCATGTGATAAAAGTATTTTCATTCAACTAGTAAATCTTTACTGAGGATCTATTATGGGCCCAGCACTGCGTCCTGTATTGCCAGTAGGCCATGAATAAGGTACTAGGTTGCTAGTCGACTTTGCATGAGCAATATGGTAAAAGTTGCCTGAGAGAGTCCTCATGCACTGTGCGGAGATGACCAGTGCTGAATCTAGACTGGAAGTTCATTCATTGCCTCCATTCCTAAGATTGTCAACCGCCATGCCTGGACATCTGTTTGAAATGACACTAGACCTAAATGGTGAGAGTATGCCACGGGAGTCCATGCAGTCAAAAGCCAGTCATATCCTCCCTTGTCTGGGAAATAAGCCAGGAATACGAACTTTAAAAACGTGAGCTACTGTTAGACCCAGATTAGAGTTAACAGAGGATGTGACTTTTATTCATAGTAAACATATTTTTTAAAAATACCTAAAAATTTCTATTTGCTCTTTTGATATTTATCATTAGCATACTAATATAGTTAATGTTAAAATTACTAGACTGTAAGTAATATTAGTTTGATTCTGAAGTTTGTGACTATTAAGCTGTCTTAAATTTCGGTTTGGTAAATCTTCAGTTTAGCAGAGAAGATGAAGTAATAAACATTAAATAATGATACTTAATTCCAATAAATAACAGAGAAAAATCCCTTCTTCTGGCTTTAACTGGAGATTTATTAGAAATTCATACTCCTGAGAGTATGTCAAATGACAAATCTCAAAAGTAAAGTACATTTAAGTTAGCAGAGGTATAGCAAGAGCAATAATAGATTCATTAAGTTATTCAGATCAGTTACTGCCTTCAAAATTTTGATGTGGTATTACTTATGCTAGATTTTTCTCTTTGTTATTCAGAACTCTTTTTACTATTGCAAAAATCATTATGATTAGTAACTTTCTGTTAAATTTGAAAAGTTACAAAATTAATGTAGCATTCATTTATTAAATAAGTATATGAATATACAAAAGGGCAGTGACTAAAATAATTTTAGAAATCTTCAAAAATATATTTATTTAAAAATAAGTAACATTAAGTCAAGATTTTCAAAGTTTGAAATTTGCATGAGAATGTCAGCCTGTGTATTTTTCCTGTAGTTTAAATATCTGCACAGATGATAACGCTATTATTTTTCAAAAATACCTTAACGGATAAGCATGTATTTGGTAGGATGAGATACTAGGATGAAATAACAGTAAAAATGTATTTTAAAGTAAGTTACACTGAATGAATCACTATCCTGAAAGTTTAAAACATGAAAGGCAAAATACAACCAAGTACAATGGTACAGTGTAGATTAAACTGTGAATAGCCTCTTGGAATGGAGCCGAGCACAGGTGATGATGAACTGTGCTTGAACTAGGCTTGTTGTTACACAGCTTCACAGGCTTGTCCTGCTCTCACTTTGTAGCTGTGCTGAAGATAGATGGATACCCCGATACAAAAGGAAGGAAGCAGTACCTGCTCAATGGTCCCAGGATGCTCCTAACCTACCTGACGGCTTCTCCTCATTACAGTTCACAAGGTGTGGGTTTGCCTGATGCATCAAAAGAAGTTTCACCAGGTTTGCCTGAAATATTAAAGATAATTGAAATGGGAACCACCATGGCAGATGCTAAGGATTCATCAGTAAGTTACACACTGTGCTGTCTAACTGGTAGCTGGAATGAGACGGCATCAGCGTTCCCACTCAGAAGTCCTTCCTGGGACAGTCCCAGGAAAGTACCTTTCCCAATGCCTTTTGTGAAGATGTCAGATATTCAAACTATTGCAGCCCTTTCTGGATTCAGAACAAAAATGATTTATCCAATAAGGATTTAACCACTGAAGGTTTGAAAAGGACATTTTAAAACTTTTAGGTTTATATTATGTGCATTTGTAGGATGAGAAACTAGTTACACAACAGTAAAAATGTATTTTAAAGTAAGTTGCACTGAATGAATCACTACCCCGAAACTTTAAAACATGAAAGGCAAAATACAACAAAGCACAAAAGGACAGTATAGACTATATGCCATAATATAACCTGAAAGTACTTAAGCTATACTCCTTATGTGTGGAATTATATGGTACAGTGTGTTTTGTTCTGTTTTAATTGAACAATTCATTGAAGTCTAACTTGTTGGTATTGTTCCTCTGTGACAGCAGCGTGGGCAGTATGAACCTAAAGTCACAATGGACCATTAGAGAAATGCAATCTCAAGTTATAAGAGTTAAGTAACTTGAGAAATTAATGTAATTTTAAAAATTATTATAATATATCACACATATAAAGGGTATATATAATATACATGTGCTATGGAAAAGGCAATAATGAAATAAATTTCAGTGTACTCAACTTTTAAAAATATGTACTCAACATTTTTTTTAAATGATATCTTCGTGAGTTTCTCCCCAAAACTATGCCTCTCTCTATTTCCCAGAGTTGGCCACTATCATAACTTTTGGGTTAACCATTAATATCTTCTCTATATGCTTAGCACACATATATGGAAGTATCCCCAAGCAACATATTGCTTAATTTGTTTGTGACATTTATAGAAATGAAATCCTATTGTATAGATTCTTCCACGCCTGTTTTCATGGCTTACCATTGCATTTTTGAGTCATCAGAGTTGATGAGTTTAACCAAGTTTCATTCTTTTCCTTGGCTGCATGGAATTGTATTGTACAAATATATGACAATTGATCCACCTTTCTCCCAGTGAATATTGAAGATATTTGCAGTCATTTATTTGTTTTTACAAACAATGTTCCCATAAGTAGTCTCATTTATATCTCTCAGTGCACACATACACCAGGATTATGTACTTAAAAACGAAATTGCTGGGATCTCAGTTTGGACAGTATCAAAGAGATAAATAGTGCCAATATATTTTTCTCCAAGAGGTTGCTCAGATTGTCACTCTTACTCCTAACAAGGCTTTCTGTTGCTCTACGTTCTACTTAATAATTTTATTATCAGGCATTTACTTGTTGTTAAATTCTTGGGTGTAAAAGAATTGATTATTGTGGTCTAATGGTACATTGCTTTGAAAATGGAGCAGGACTCTCCTGGACTACTTCTTGGTATGATTTAGTGCAATACTTTTTAAAGTTATTACCTTCTAGGGATTTGCCAGTTTTGTCTAAGTTTCCAAATGTGCTGGCATGATGTTGTTGGTTATATCTTCTTATTGTGCTTTTTCTTTTATTGCCTTTTTAATAGCTGTGCTGATTTTGTAGTTCTGTTTCCCTTTGCACGCACACTATCAGTCACTTTGTGCATGCCCTCTCTATCTTTCTGACCAGTATTTCCAAAACTTGGTTCATTTCATTAATCCTTACAAGAACCAATTTGAGGTATTATTGATTCCTTCTACGGCATTTTTGTTTAACAGTTCTATCACTTTGGCTTTTATCTGTTTTATATTCCCATTTACACATTCTGTATTTGTTTTATTAATCTCTATCTCTCTGTCTCTCTCTTTTTTTTTTTTTCTTTTTTTGAGACGTCTCACTTTTTCATCCAGGCTGGAGTGCAGTGGCACCATCTCGGCTCACTCAACCTCCTTCTCCTGGGTTCAAGTGATTCTCGTCTCTCAGCCTCTGGAGTAGCTGGGATTACCAGCCTGCACCACCACACCTAGATAATTTTTATATTTTTAATAGAGACAGGGGTTTGTCATGTTGGCCAGGCTGGTCTTGAACTCCTGACCTCAAGTGATCAGCCTGACTTGGTCTCCCAAAGTGCTGAGATTACAAGCATGAGCCACCGAGCCCAGCCTGTTTTATTAATGTCTTACAAACTTTGTAAGTGGTAACATTATTTTTCAAACTTGTCTTTTACAATATAGACATCTAAGGTTGCTATGCAACCTCAAAGGCTGTACATTTTCATCAAATGAAAATTACCACCACTTTCTTTATGTCTCACATAGGGATAGAGACAATGCAATTTTTTAAAATTATGATTCTATTCCGAATATTTTAAAATGGTCATTGTATGTCTTTTTGATTTATAGAGAATAGTAAGTCCTGAAATAATGTATGTTTCTGTAATACAAAGTAGCTCATACTCAATTGATAAATGTTGGTAAGTACTATTTTTTCCTAGGCCAGAGGAGCCAAAACAGCCGAAGTCAAATCATAAAACTAAAAGACCTCAACTGTGTTGTGCTAGAAACTGAAGCCATCTTAGCTGTATTTCTACAAATATTCTTTTTTTAAACAATAACGTAATTTAAGGGTAATAAAATGGGCAATAATAAGTGCACAGTTATTAAACTTGGGCAAATGTGTGTACCTGTGTAATCAACACCACAAATAAGATATAGAACATTTCTCATCACCAGCAGTTCCCTCCTGCCCCACTGTGGTCAATCTTCATCCCATAGAAGAAAACACAGTGTGATTTATAGCACCCCAGATTAGTTTAGTCTATTCTTAAACTTCACATCAATAAAACACAGAAATATACATGTTTGCCCAACATAATGTTCTTGAGATTCGTCCATGCTTGTGCATGCATTGACACTTTCTCTCTTCACTGTTGAGCTGTAGTCCATTGTACAACTACCTTACAATATGTTCATCATTTTCTTCTTGAGAGTTGAGCCATTTGTTTCTGGCTCTTTGAATAAGGCTACTATGGACATATGTCATTTTAGTCAACGTAGATTTTCATTTTTCTCTTTTGAACATTCTAAAACAGAATTCTGGGTAATCTGGTAAGAAATTGCCAGAAAAGTTTACCAAGTGGTTTTACTATTCTTTATCCTCACTGGCAATTTTGCCATATGCTCTCTGACACTGATATTGTCATAGTAAAACAATGTTAGCCACTGAAGTACTATCTCAGTGTAGGTTAATTTACATTTCCCTGATGACTGGTGATATTGAACGCTTTCGTGTGCTTAATGACCACCTTTTGTGAATTGTCTACTCAGGAATTTCTTGTCCATTTATTACTGCATTGTTTAACTTTCTATTATTATTCTATCTGCATTTTTATATGATCTGGATGCATTTTTCAGATATATGTAGAGAGTGGAGGGACCAAGTGGAGTTCAGGAGGGTATATTTTAGGTGTACACTGGCTCAGCAGACATGCATCCTGAAAGTCTGAGCAGTAAACAAAGAAAATGAATGCTTTTTATGCACCTTGAGGTGGGAATTACATGATGCAGGAAGCTGGTTTACAAAAGCAAGTACCAAGCAGTTAATTATCAGGTGACATTCTTAGGACTCAGCTTATATCTTGGGAAACACATCTTGCAACTCATGCTTATCGATCGTGTGACCTTACAGTTGCACAGCAAGAAAAACAGGAGCTTACAGAACTTACAAAATATGTGGGGGAGAGATATGGTTAATGCTTCACAGACCTTACAGAGGAGCAGTTAATCTTCTTTCTTAACTCTTACTTGGGGTGGGTGGGTGGAGGTGCTACTTCATACCCATTCTAGTGTAAACTTAAACTGTAAATTCAATTTCTTTTAATTTTTCTACTTTAGTATTACACGTATTTCCTCTCATTCTATGGCTTGCCTAGTCATATTCTTAAAAATGTCTTTTGATGAGCAGAAAAACACTTTTATTTCTTTTCTTTTGTTTAAGTGCCATATCTGTACCTATTTTTATCTACTCAAAGTTCATGGTAGTATTATACTATAGTTTCTTCTGAAAGTTTTATAATTTTCACTTTTATATTTGTGGTCCATTTCAAGTGAGTTTTTGTGAATGCCATGTAAAGGCCTGGATGGTCCAGCACTATTTGTTTTTCAGCAACATTTGTGGAGAAGACCATTTTTTCTTATTGAATTGCCTTGAGACCTTCATAGGAAATCAACTGGCTTGTTATGTTCATTTGTAGCCACTATATTTTAAGTTCCATTGATCTACTGGTCTATCCTTGCTGTATTACCTAACAACTTTATATGTATAGATTTATAGCAAGCTTTGAAATCTTACAAGTGAAAGACTTAGAGTAAGTCTTGAAAAAAGTCTGTGTCTTATTCCTTCAAGAACCTTTTGTCTATTATAAGTACTTTGCATTCCATAATTTTTAGGATGAATTTCCCAATTTCTATTAAAAAAAAGACTGTCAGGCTTTAAATTGGGATTGTTTTAAACAGGAAGCTACTATACTAGCTTGATATGCCTTAACAAATCTCCACAAGCTTTGTGGCTTAAACAATAAAAATGTATTGTCTTACAATTGCATAGGTCAGAAGTCTGACACAGGTATCACTGGGCTGACACCAGGGCCCCGGTAGCACGTTCCCTTCTGGTTATAAAGCAGAATTTGTTTCTGTCTTCTCCAGTTTTGGAATCACCCACATTCCTTGGTTAATGGTCCCTCCCCTTCCACCATCTTCAAAGCAGCAATATTGCACGTGTCTGGCCATTTTTCCACAGTCACGCCGCCTCTATCTCTCAGCCAAGAACAAGTCTCTGCTTCTAAAGGCCCATCTAGACAATCCAGGAAAATCTCTCCAGCTTATGATCCTTAGCTTAGTTACAAGGCAAAGTTCTTTATTTAGCCCTGTAATATATTGACAGGTTCTGGGGGTTAGGGCATGGACATCA